AAACGCAACAACGTTGGATTCATAGTCTTTATTATTTGATATGCCATTTCCTTATTTGGTTCATATGTATCCAACAGTAAACACTGCATTATTGTATTAGCTTGGTATATCTTCCATTCAACATCTTTAAACTCATTATAAAGGAGATCTTGCATCAATAAAAGTATCTGTAAGCTGGAGCGTCTACGAGTATACGTTGCGTCTGGATACAAATTACTCACGCAAATTTCACGCAAGTTTACAAAAAACGTGATATAATCTTTCACATCTCGTTCAATTTGTTCAGATGTTTGATAAGATAGAGCCAAAGCATTTTCGTAAGCTTCGGAAGTGATATCTTGTTCCTTGCAATGATTTCTCATTTTAATTTCTTGAGCCAATTGTCTCTGCATAACAGCTAGACTATCCTTCAACCGTTTTAGAGCCTATAAAGAATAATAAATTCAATCTAAGTAAGATTTCGATAAGAGTCAATATCAATATTCCTTATTACCTTCTTAATTAAGGGTACATATTCCATCTTTTCACATAAATTGTACTTCAAAAATAACAAAATCATATCAAGTTCCTTGCACGAGAAGCGTAACGTGCTCTTTTTCGACTCCACCAAGAGTGCTAACATCCCCAGCCTGCACTACAACGAGAGATATGCAAGATCGATTAGAATAAAAATAATAAATAATTTTTAAATTTCTTAAAGCCAATATTATTTACAAGATAAATTATTTCGGAGAATCAATCATTAAGAATTCGTTACCTCTTCGCTGTGATGCTTGGCACATGTTTCCAAAACACTGTACTCTAAAGTATTTCGCCATTTGACAGTCTGTTGCGCGAGTTTCTCGTCAGTGTCTAACTCGCCCTTTTGCTTCGACATCCGCAAATTACTCAGCAGTGCGCGAAGTTCACTTTCGTTCATGTTTTTCGATTCCCGCATCATTTAAAAGCACGATATTGCAGCAACACGTGAGCAAATCCTTTCAGGTTGGGAAGCTTTGTTTAGTCGTCCCTTTAACACGAGATTTACGGCACGGCTTTTACCGATACCCGTTAATCTCTCTATCGGTAACCATCGACTATCCGGTTGATGCAGACATCTGTGTGTACTCAATTGCCAGAATTTAATTTTATTATATATTCTGCCGCCTTTACGAGATAACATCGATCTCTTGGTATATACATATAAAAAAATCATTCAAAGCGTTACATTCATTTATTTAAATAGAATAAATAAATAATAATAAAAAATAAAAAAATTTTAATTTGTACTTTTATTTTTCACGTTTTCATGCATTACTCTGATCTTCCAAGCATTGTAAAAAGAGTGGTTTCTGCTGAAGTATTTGAAAATTTGGCCTAGTTCAGATCTGAAAATAATTTTTTAGGCCATCAAAATAAATATGCAGAATAAATTAATTAAATTTTATAATTACACTACTAAAATGTTTGCTATTCCATCGATCGATTTGAATACCTTACATAAATATTTTAATAAAAAGTTTTTCTAATATTTTTCTAAAATCTATATTTGATCTAATTTTTACATACTGCAGCAAAACTGTTCTTTTCGTAAAGCTTTCGTAACACATTTCAGTTATATTTCTACCTAAAATGTTCACGATTTCTATGTTACATAATTAATGCGATTCAGAATAGAAAAAAGAAAATGTTATGGATGCAATAATACTGCAACTTGAATTACTGCTCTAGAATATATCATATTGTATAATATCATATTGTATAATTTATTTTATTATCAAAAATAAAAAATGTAAGTAAAATACGTTTACAAATTTAAAAATGTATCTCAAATACGAAAGCAGTAACATTATTAATATTATAATTTTTTATTTAATAATGTAACAGGGAATTTATAATATTAATAATGTATATAATATTACTGTTAGTTAACATTTACTGATAAAATAAATCGGTTTTGCTTTTTCAGAAGGCATTAGCTTTAGTAAGAGAAAATGATAGGAATGGTGTGTAATTGTTAAAATTTTTTTATTTATTCCGCAATTTATAAACAAGTTTCCTTTTAGATTATAATCACTATTTCAACATTTAAAAATTGCGCAATATTATTCTTGAATAAATCTCATAAATGGCGATGATTATTTATGCTTATCGTGACTATTATTTTAATCTAACAAAATTAACTCAATCGAGAGTTAAACAATATTTATATTATTTTAATAATATAAACAAAAGAATTAATTTCTTAATTTTAAAAAAATTAGATAAAAAGGATGTAACTTTTTAATTTGCCACATTTTATCCAATTAATCCATAGCGATTAAAGAAGGCAAGAATAAAAATACTAATTATTAAAAATTATTAAAAAAATTTTTTAAATCAAACAAACTAAAAAAAATCTAAATATATATTGTGATGAGTATTATTCATTTTTTTTTCTTTGTCAGAGCGGTATTAAAATTTAAATAAAAAGCTAAATATATATGCGTCTCTAAAGAGATTTACGTAGAAAAACAGGATTATATCAGAGAAAATGGAACTGTGAATAAAAAAATTAGAATTTTTGTAAATCTATCAATTGAATTAAATCAGCGATTACATTAACAGAAATTTGATGAAAATCCATATCTTAAAGTTCATACAGTGCATCTTGTAATTATCTGGTGTGTATAATGTTTATCTTCGCGGGTTGCACAGTTATTTCGATATCTTACAGTATAATCTGCACTTACATTTGTTCTGTTGGCGAGGTTTATCTCATAGCATATATTACATATATCTCCGCTTTGCGCCTAGATGAATGGCTATCTACTAAATTTAGAAGGTACGTTACAATCTTTCGTTGGCCTTCACGTCGCACGATGTGTTACGTCCCACTATCAATTTGACGCTAGATTCACGAGAAAACCTTCGTCCTCGGTCGCTTCTAAAACTCTACTTGTGTAGATCACTTTGGAAAAGATAAAAAAATATTAATATAAAAATAGGACGTTTAGCATGAGGAATATAATTTGTAAGATAACATGAAAAAAATATTTTTCTCTTCTCTTTTTGTTTTCTCTTTGTTCTTTATTTGTTTTCTACTTTGCAACAATGTAACAATATGCAATATCTTTAACTTTTTCATTTAAATTTAATATTAATATTTTCTTTCGTATAATTACATTCTTTCTTTTAATAGTTTATTAAACAGCAATATTTACAAAAATTTGTCAAACACGGTTCTTCTCATCTCTTTGTTAAAAATTCTTTGTTTAAATAGTCGTGTTTAAAACATCACGTGACAAAGTACGCTTTACAAACTTAATTGCAGAGGATAGACTTCCCTGTTATTTAAAAAGTTCCGACTTCGCTTTAACAATCTCCGTTCATTACGAAACAATTTCGAAGAGCATTAGTTTTACGATGCTCTGGCATTATTAGGTCATTCACTGCAATCGCAATTATCATCTTGAAATCTTTTTCTCTCTTATGAATCCTGAGATAAATTTACATGTAGAACGCTATGTTGAAAGTAGAACAAAAATGGAGGAAAGTATTCCCCGAGCATCGTAACGTTTAAAAGATTCCGTTTAAAAGATTTTAAAAGTAAAATGGCATCGTGACTACTTTTTAAGACGTCTCTCGTAAATCTTTAAGGCGCCTTTGTGCAGTTTGCGTGCTCCTTTCGTAGTTTAACACAAATGATGGCGAATTCTGTGAAAATATATATTATATCAAAATCTTCCCCTTATATCAAGATCTTATCCTAATTAAAACTGATAATTTTAATATTTTCAATCATTTAAGTGAAATAATTGGATGAATCAACTTTGATAAAAGAGAAGCTAAGAATAAGATCGGATTTGATTAGAGATACCTTAATTGCTCGAAAGAGGCACAATAAAAGTTTAAATATAAATCATACTGAGAAACTGTACACACACGCATTCAAATCTGATACTTGTTACTCTGAAAAAAAATCAAAATTACATAACAGTGTCGTGTATTGTTGACTTGTTGTTTGCTCGCTCCTAAATATGAGGTCAAGCGACAGACAGCGGTGTAACATCTTCGTTAATGTACAAACCGCGGGAAGAGATGGATCTTTGGAAATTACGTGAGAGCTGTTGTGCGTTTCGTTATTTTAATTGCGCGTCATCCTGGGAAGAATCCCAGAACATTTCCGACTATTCTCTGGCCGAAGTTTCTCCCTCGCATCAACCGAAAACCCAGCCACGTGATTTCCTGAGAGCCATGTAATCTGCGTAATTAATCGTCATTTAAATTAGCGCGACGACTCTTTTTATTTACCACAAATCCCAGCTCGGGATTTATTTTACGTCATTCTTCGCAATACGGGAAAATGTAATCTTCCTTTTTCCCGGAGTACGCTAATAGTTGAGCTAATGGGCGCGTTTTAAGGAAATCACAAATATTTATTCTCCTTCGGAAAGCAAAACTATTTAATTGCAAATCGCAAAACTTAATTTAGATCTATACGGCTATTAGATTCAGTTGCAATTCGAATTTTATAGGATTTAATTTTCTGATTGTGCCAGCCAGCCATGTGAAAATAAAGTATAGGTTAATAACTCTGTTGCTTTTAAAGCTACATTTTCTGTACTTATATTTTCTTTTCTTCATTTTTCTAAAGCGCAGACGAGCACTATTTCAGTGTTTTAAGTGCATGAAACCTAAGAGATCTATTAAATTAAAGTGTCGGTAAAAAAGTAGATAACAGGAGTATTGTCAGATTAGAAACTTCTGTTTCCAACACAAAATATTATCTCTCATATACTTTTATACATTTTATATATTTATATCTAAATATTACATAAAGATTAGATTTTCGAACATTTTTCCATTTCTCTCTTGAAAATATATTATTCAACATTTATATTAAAAAGGGATAAGTATAATAATAAAATTTTCAGTGAATAATTGTTACTTAATAACTAAAAAGCTAATAATGTTTTTACAATAAATATTACGGTTTCAAAATAAATGTTTCATATTAGTTTACATAAGATAAAAGAGATATATTGTAAATAACAGAGATTTAATAATTATTTACTGAACATTGAGTCTATCTAATAACTTTAGCTTGCAGAATTTGAAGATTTTGAAATTTTTTTATAAGATTTGAATATAATTTTAATATTTTAACTTTTGTACATGCATCTTTAACGTTAAAGACTTCATTGTTGGCAATATGTACACTACGAGAAATCCTCGGATCAACCACGAAATTCATACGAGAGTAGCTCGTGGCGAACAAGTTTGTGGAATTTTCTTCTCATTTATGTCGGTCCTCAACGTAGCATATTTTGCGACTCTCAATTAATTTCCAACAAAACTATTCAGCGTAGTCATCACGAGCAGATAGTTGCGAATCAAACGTTGTTTGCTGAATATCTTTCATATAACATGCGAATTAATAATTTTAGAATTGAACTTGAGATCGGAAAATTGTGTTGAACGGAATTCCCTAATGCAAGCTTGTATATTTTTATCTACACGGATAGAATTTCTTTTTAGTCAGATACAAATCTGAAAATAATTTTGTTTTGTCATCAAAATAACGCTCGCTTGTTATATTTATTAAAACCTACGCAATATTTTTTTATATTCCAGCAATCAATCTGAACGTTCAACAAAATTATTTTTACATTTGTATCTCGTCAAATTTTTAAATGCTTTAGCAAAATTGTTTTTTCCCGTGCATTTGTCTATATTCAATTATATCAAATAGTTAAAGATAATTAAGAAACGAACATTCTTCTTATTACAAGTTATGTATAATCTTTCATTTTTTTTTTTTTTTATTAAATTCTTCCTCATTGTTTAGCGTTGTTTTGTCACACGTGATGACTTCTTTCCCCTCTTCCTATCGCATTGTTTTTCGACCGCGCTTGAAGGGAGGGGCTTGTACTTGCCGTGTAGAAACAAGGGGTAACACCGGCCGTGACATGCACAATGTCTTCACCGACCAATTCCGCGCCTCGTTTCACCGCAGGACGTCTGTCCTGTAGCGAGAAAGCTTGAGAATCACTTGAGCAGAACGTGTCTCGCGGAGAATCGTCTGATGCTGGTAAATAACCGAGCTAACTGCTAATTCGATTTACTGGCCAACCCCTGTTCTCCCTTTCCCCCTCGTCCCCCCCCCCTGTCAGATCCAATTAGCGAAGGAGTTAC